CACTGATGGTTGAGTAAAGTGATCAATAAAGTGGACAGTAAGAAGGAAGAATTACAATAATACAATAAAAGATGAAGTGAAGAACAAGAGAACATGAAGACCACAACACCAGCTAACAGCTGTACCAGGCCAGGAGCTATGACTCAACCCCTGCAACCACAAGGTGAGTACACACACACACACACACACACACATGGGGCCAGGAGCTGTGACTCAACCCCTGCAACCACAAGTAGGTTTCTACACATGCACACACACACACACACACATTGGGAGCCAGGAGCTGTGACTCAACCCTTGCAACCACAAGTAGGTGTATACACACACACACACATATAGGGCCAGGAACTGTGACTCAAACCCTGCAACCACAAGTAGGTTTCTACACATGCACACACACACACACATTGGGAGCCAGGAGCTGTGACTCAACTCCTGCAACCACAAGTAGGTGTGACACACACACACACATACTGGAAGCCAGGAGCTGTGACTCAACTCCTGCAACCACAAGTAGGTGTGTACACATACATGCAGCCAGGAGCTGTGACTCAACCCTTGCAATCACAAGTAGGTGAACACACACACACACACACACACACACACACACTGGGTGCCAGGAGCTGTGATTCAACTCCTGCAATTACAAACAGGTGTGTACACACACACATTGGGCCAGGATGTGTGATTCAACTCCTACAACCACACCAGTAGGAGAGCACACACACACACACACAGGGCTGTGACTCAACCCCTACAACCACAAGTAGGTGAGTGCACACACACACACACACACACACACACACAAACACACACACACATGGGGCCAGGAGCTGTGACTGAACCCCTACAACCACAAATAGGTGAGCACACACACACATGGGGCCAGGAGCTGTGACTCAACCCCTACAACCACACACACACACACACACACACACATGGGGCCAGGAGCTTTGACTCAACTCCTATAACCACAAGTCGGTAAGCATACACACACACTGGGCCAGGAGCTGTGACTCAACCCCTACAACCGCAAATAGGTGAGCACACACACACACACACACATGGGGAGCCAGGAGTTGTGACTCAACACATAACATAATGTATTAACAGAAACACAATATTGTATATATTGAATGTACTGTATATACTATATATATACTATATATATATATATATATATATATATATATATATATATATATATATTATTATATATATATATATATATATATATATATATATATATATATATATATATATATATATATATATATATATATATATATATATATATATATATATACAGTGGACCCCCGCATAACGATCACCTCCGAATGCGACCAATTATGTAAGTGTATTTATGTAAGTGCGTTTGCACGTGTATGTTTGGGGGTCTGAAATGGACTAATCTACTTCACAATATTCCTTATGGGAACAAATTCGGTCAGTACTGGCACCTGAACATACTTCTGGAGTGAAAAAATATCGTTAACCGGGGGTCCACTGTATATATATATATATATATATATATATATATATATATATATATATATATATATATATAGGCAGGGTGGCCCAAAAAAGAAAACTTAACATTCACTCCATCACTGTCTTGCCAGAAGGGTGCTTTACACTACAGTTATAAAACTGCAACATTAATTAACACCCCTCCTTCAGAGTGTAGACACTGTACTTCCCATCTCCAGGACTCAAGTCCAGCCTGCCGGTTTCCCTGAATCCCTTCATAAATGTTACTTTGCTCACACTCCAACAGAACGTCAAGTATTAAAAACCATTTGTCTCCATTCACTCCTATCAAATACGCTCATGCACGCTTGCTGGAAGTCCAAGCCCCTCGCACACAAAACATCCTTTACCCTCTCCATCCAACCCTTCCTAGGCCGACCCCTACCCCACCTTCCCTCCACTACAGATTTAAGCACTCTCGAAGTCATTCTGTTTTGTTTCATTCTCTCTACATGTCCGAACCACCTCAACAATCCCTCCTCAGCCCTCTGGATAATAGTTTTGGTAATCCCACACCTCCTAATTTCCGAACTTCGAATTCTCTGCATTATATTCACACCACATATTGCCCTCAGACATGACATCACCACTGCCTGCAGCCTTCTCCTTGTTGCAACATTCATCACCCATGCTTCACACCCATACAAGAGTGTTGGTACAACTATACTCTCATACATTCCCCTTTTCGCTTCCACGGACAAAGTTCTTTGTCTCCGCAGACTCCTAAGTGCACCACTCACCCTTTTTCCCTCATCAATTCTGTGATTCACCTCATCCTTCATAGACCCATCTGCTGACACATCCACTCCTAAATATCTGAACCCATTCACCTCCTCCATACTCTCTCCCTCCAATCTGATATCCAATCTTTTGTCACCTAATCTTTTTATCCTCATAACCTTACTCTTTCCTATATTCACTTTTAATTTTCTTATTTTACATTCCCTACCAAATTCATCCACCAACCTCTGCAACTTCTCTTCAGAATCTCCCAAGAGCACAGTGTCATCAGCAAAGAGCAACTGTGACAACTCCCAATTTGTGTTTGATTCTTTATCTTTTAACTCCACACTTCTTGCCAAGACCCTCGCATTCACTTCTCTTACAACCCCATCTATAAATATATTGAACAACCACAGTGACATCACACATCCTTGTCTAAGGCCTACTTTTACTGGGAAATAATCTCCCTCTCTCCTACATACTCTAACCTGAGCCTCACTATCCTTGTAAAAACTCTTCACTGTTTTCAGTAACCTACTTCCTATACCATACACATGCAACATCTGCCACATTGGCCCCCTATCCACCCTGTCATACGCCTTTCCTAAATCCATAAATGCCACAAAAACCTCTTTACCCTTATCTAAATACTGTTTACCTATATGTAGATATACATACATATATATACAATAGGGCCCCACTTTACGGCATTCCAATAATATGGACATTTCAAATTATGAGCAAAACTCATTATACGGTTCCTTCGTCTTTCTAATACGATCACCATACCCCACCCTGTTTGTTTATATTCTCCGTGAGCTCTGCGTCTCTCCATTATGTTTGGAAACTTTAAAAAATTTCAAGTGTTTTGAAGCTATTTCATATTTTATACATACTCTGATAATTATACTTATGTGTACTTGTACCTAAGTAAACTTATACACTATGCTGGTGTGCAGGCACACATTAAAATCACTAAGATTGTCTTATGTCTTGAGGACACCATATTAATAATGATAATAATAATAATAATGTGCAATAATAATCACTCTGAGGAGCATTAAATGTCGTATATTACATTAATACAGGCATTCATTAATCCATCGATGATATTTTTTTTCAAAATTATATAATAAACATGATAAATACACCTCACATTAGAATAAATTAACATAAATATGAGATGTTTTTCCAGTCATCTTGTCAGAGTATCAGAAAGAATAACGTTTTCTCTAGTTCAACACCAAAGAATATGTGTACACAATAGTATTACTGGGGATAAATGTAGAAAATTATTCCTTTCATATGCCTTCACTCAGAGTGTTATTCCTTCTAAAAATGGTGTGTTACATGAGTATGGGAGTGATGCACTTTATTTATTCTATTGTACCAAAGTGTAGACAACTTGTACACAATGTAAGGTGTTTGTATAAACGTGTGTGAACCATAACCAGATGAGTTCATCTTCTTGTTTACATACTCCCAGTCTCTCTCCTCTCTCATTAACTCACTCTCTCTCTCTCATTTATTCGTTTTACCTCGTTTACTCACCTCTCACCCTATACATGTATTAAGACTACAAATATTTTAAGGTACATAATGAGTGTACTGTATATGCATTTTATCACTCTGAGGCACTTTAAATATCTTAGTATATTACGTGTGGGTGGGGTGTCCTGGCTGGCTACCATACTTCCAACACCTGACTTCCTACAAATAAATACTACTCACCTCTCACCCTACATTAAGACTACAAATATTTTAAGGTAACTAATGAATGTATTGTGTGTGTATTTTACTTTTTACTGCTTTTAATGCCTAGTTCTACTGTTAGCTTAGCTTAACATATGTTAGTGTAAACTTGTTATCTGGCATTTATATGCATTTATAAGTGGAAAAAATGGCATTCTGCTTTCTGGCGATGTTCGATTTCCGGTGGTAACCTGGAACCTAACCTGCCGTATAAGGGCCGTACTGTATGTACGTATGTATACATTATATATATATATATATATATATATATATATATATATATATATATATATATATATATATATATATATATATATATATTATATATATATATATACAGTGGACCCCCGGTTAACGAACTTTTTTCATTCCAGTAGTATGTTCAGGTGCCAGTACTGACCGAATTTTTTCCCATAAGGAATATTGTGAAGTAGATTAGTCCATTTCAGACCCCAAAACATACACGTACAAACGCACTTACATAAATACACTTACATAATTGGTCGCATTTGGAGGTGATCGTTAAGCGGGGGTCCACTGTATATATAAATATATATATATATACATATATTTATATATATATATATATATATATATATATATATATATATATATATATATATATACATGTATATATATATATACTACATAGAAACTGGGCTAATTTATTAGTTAATTAGGAGACATTAAATAGATATGTACCCTGGATGTCTCATTTACAGGTTACTTTATGGTTAATTAGGGGCCATTAATTAGGTACCCTGGATGTTTATTGTACAGGATATGAAACATTAATTAGGTACCCTGGATGTTTACTGTACTGGTTAATAATGAAACATTAATTAAGTGCCATGGATGTTTACTGTACAGGTTAATTAAGAAACATTAATTAGGTACCCTGGATGTTTACTGTACAGGATAATTATGAAATATTAATTAGGTACCCTGGATGTTTAATGTACAGGATAATTGTGAAATATTAATTAGGTACTCACAGTAGACCTGGAGGGTCCTGGTATCTTGTATTGGCTGGTGATTGATGCTAGGTGACTGTGCTAGACACTGTAGTACCTTCCCTCCATCATCCTCACTAGGTACCAGCCTCAGGGTACTTACTGTCACGTTGCCTTGCTCCTCTGT